CTGAGCTATCTCCCTAGGCCAGTGTTTTGATTGGCTACAGCACTTTCTGGGTAGTCTATGTATAAACTTACATCACCTGAGTAAAGACAGCTTTATTTGTTACTTAAAAAACAAAACAAAGCAAAGCCCAAAACCAACCAACCAACCAAACAACAACAAAACCAAAACAAAACAAAATAATACAAAACCGGGGAGATGGCTCAGTGGAATAATTGCTTCCCTGGCAAGTACAAGGGCCTGAGTTCAATGCCTGGTTATGCAAAAAACCCAAACAAAAGATCAAAAAACCCCAACAACACAAAAAACAAAACCAAAAATAAACAAACAACCCCCCCAAAAAACCCCCCAAAACGAAAACAAAACAACACAACAACAACAACAAAACGGTCCGAGGCCCCTCTGCCTTCCTGGCTGGCTCGGTCGGGGTCCGCGGGAATCTGGCCTGGTGCTCCCCGCTTGCGGGACCGAGAACTACAGGTCCCGGCGTGCCGCGCGCCGCCGGCTGCACGGAGCGCAGTGGGGGTGGCGGAGGGCACCGTTTCCTGCGAACTCCCGGCTGCCGGGCGGTAGAGAGAGCCGATAGGCGCCGCGGCCGTGCGTCTCGTGGGGTGAGTAGCTGCAGCCCTCCCGAGACGCGCAGAGCCGGGGAGCCAGGAGGTGGTGTTACGCGCGGGTGTCGGCCCCGCGTAGCCACTGAGGGACCCGGGCAGGAGCCCTGGCGGGTGACCTTGTTCCCACCGCCAGGCGCGGCCACGTGACTCGCAGGGCCCGCCCCTCTTCAAGGACTCTCCGGCTTCATGTGCAGCGGGCGTTAGTGTGCCTTCCATTTGCGTGGTACAATCCTTCGTGCACAGTAGGCAGAACTGCCCGGGGCCGCAGGTGGCGCTGCGCACAGTAGGCAGAACTGCCCAGGGCCGCAGAGGGCTCAGCGCACAGTAGGCAGAACTGCGCGGAGCCACAGGTGGCTCTGCATACAGTAGGCAGAACTGCCCATGGCCGCAGAGGGCTCAGCGCACAGTAGGCAGAACTCCGCGGGATCACAGGTGGCTCTGCGCACAGTAGGCAGAACTGCCCGGGGCCGCAGGTGGCTTAGCGAGAAGCCGTCCCCCGCAAGTGTCCTTGCACTCCGAGAACTAGGCAGCAGGCGCTGGAGCGCGATGTGGTAAGGTCAGGGACTGCCCGACGACGTTGCGGCTCTCCACCTGGCGTTGCGACCTGTCTAGGAGAGTGCTCATCTCCAGCGCCCTCCGGGGACCGTGCTTCCTCATGTGCACTGGCTGCTGTCAGTGTGAGAGCAGCCTGTGGAAGACGCCCAGGACAGCTGACTTCACTGACTAGGGACTCGTTCAGCAAGCATTCTTGTCCTCCACTTAGTGCTTGGTGCTTAGTGGGTGCCTGAGACATATGTGCAGTTGAAGTGAATTGGATTTTGTGCTGTCAAAAGTTTTCTTTAAGCGCTTACTTACTGGGGTAGTTTTCAAACCTTAGCATGCAGCAGAATTGCCCGAGGGGTTATACACAGAATTCTATATTATAGGAAAAGATCTGTGAACGCTTTCCACCTTCTATGAGCCCTTGTGTGAGTTTTACTTTTGTAGTTGTAGTAAACATGTTCATAAACTTTGTGCACTGTTAATTCTTTCTACATTGCTTCACCTACAGATTTTCATGTGGTCTGATGCAAGTCCTTTTTTCTTGTTTATATCATATTCTGCTTGGATCGTGTCCTTTGCTTGATGTGGGCCTCAGGCATGTGACATTTGACCTTTGCTGGGAGAGTTTACATTTTATTTCTTTCTCATACATACTCTTTTTTTTTTTTTGGTTTGTGTTGTCTTTTTGAGCTGGCCTTGAACTCACTTGTGTAGCCCAGGCTGGCCTCAAGATTTGAGGTGATCCTCTTGCCTCAGCCTCTCAAGTGCTGGCATTACAGCTACCCCACCCAGATACACCCACCTCCTTATGAGGTGAGGGACCTATGAGATCGTAGTACTAGGTTTGTTGATCTGTCTATCCCTTTCCTCCCGACCAGGGTAGGGCACTGAATAAACTACTTTGCTTAGATTGCCATGTCAGATGGTTTCTGGCTCATCTGAGAGCTGCTCGTTCTTGTCTACTGTGCTGGCTTTTTAAAATTTTTAAAAATCATTTATTTATTTATTTGATACAGGGTCTTGCTATGCAGCTTGGACTTGTAGTGATCCTCCTGTTTCAGCCTCCCCAGCACTGGGATTGCAGATGTTCATCACCATGTCTGATTTCTGTGGCCAGCACGGTGTACTCAGGGTTGTGGGACTGCCACAGTATGTAGTACTGGGGATTAAACCCAGGTTCTTGGACTTGCCAAGCAGGGGCTTAGACTGCTGAGCTGTCTTTCTAGCCTTGTGCTGTCTTTTTTTTGGTACCAGGAATTAAACTCAGGATCTCACGCCTGCCAGGCAGGTGCTGTGCTTTGAGCTGTATCCCCAGCCCCTGCTGTGCTGTCTTGTTTGGCCTAGAGACACCTGGATTCAAGTGCTGGCTGTTTGGCCAAGTGTCTGCCACTTCTCAGAATGAGGCTGTAACCTGCAGAATCTGGTTCTGAATGGCACATGAGGCATCAAAATACTTGGCCTTGCGTCTCTCTTGTTGGAGGCTGACTTTTTTAAACCTTCTGCTTGCTCTTTTTGTGTGTCTTGTCACTATTCTCCCTGAGTGCCCCTTTGTAGGATGAACTGAATAGAGAATTTCTTCTATTCCTTGCCCGGGTGAGATTTATTTTTCCTATCTACTCTGGGACATTGGCATTGATCAGAGATCCTTTGTTCAATCAATGATGACTCAAACAACACCTAACCATTGAACACTAGGAAAGGGTATATGTTTAAAATTTGGTTCCCACTTTGGACTTTATCACTTTCTGCAGGATAGAGCAGGCTGTAAATATGCTCAGGCTCAAGACAATGTCTTTGGGCATTGATTTGCCTTGTATGCTTTTTTATTCACATCAGTGACCATGTTTCTTTGAAGTCCTGTTCACTTTCTTCCAGGATAGTTTTGGGTCTTTGCCAGTCTTAGGAATGGTCTAGAAAAAAATAGCACTTGTTTGTGTAATAGCCTCTTTAGGAAATAGGAAGAAGCAGTGGTTGCTTTAGAAGTTGACAGTAAGTGCCTGTCCTGTGTAGTCAGTCTCACTTTTCTGCTAAGCAGGAAGAAGTGATTCTAGGCATGCTGTTGAGTTCTGTCCAGGGGATGGAGATTTTGTTTAACCATCAACTTCTCACTGTCAAACTTTCTGTTGCCTATTTTTATGGCCCGCTGGAGTGTTTTCTGTGGCCCACTGAGATGGAGTTCATTCTTATTGATCTAGTAATTAAACAACTGTGTCAACTTTGCGTCTGGAATGGATTGTTCTTAGTGAGGTGGATAGTTTATCTTTTACTTGACGTGTTTTTAATTTCCAGGGCACACAGTACCTCCCTCATATCTGGCATTGTTTGGGATGGTACAGGGTCTGAGACTATAGTGCCTACATACAAAGACTGTTGTGTTTATTTGGGAACAGTAGTAAGAACCTTAGTGACCTGGGGTTCAAATGTCTCTATCAAAGACATCATGCATCATAAAAAAAGAGAAGGGTTTCACACTTGGACTGGGAAATCCCTGTTCAAGTTTTAATCTGCCATCTTACTAGCTAAGCCACCTGGGGTAAATTACTCAAGGTCTCTGTTCCTTGGTTTTCTCTTTATACTTGGGATGGTGGTGTTTGTCTTATCTCCCTGGGTTGCTTGGAATATTTAATGAAGTGAATGTGAAGGGCTGTACAAAGGTTAGTTATTACTCATATTATCTAATGGTTAGGTTTGAGGCTCTTAGTGGCCTTAGATCCCTGAAGGTATGTACTGTTATTATAGTTAATTCAGGTAAAAGTAAAAAATGCAAGTAAACAGACCAGGACAGATGATTCATTAGCAAAGTATTTAATAATGAAAGATGCTTTTCATTGACAGACATATTTCATGCTTGACAGGTCTTTTAAAATACCTCAAGGGAAGTCATTCATTTGCATGTTAAAGACTCACTGAACACCTTCTGGAAAATTCGAGCTCCAATCTATTCAGACACAGTTTGGCTCCCATATTGGAATCATCTATTTTATGTATTTCTTTTATTCTCTGAGGATATTTGCTTGAAAACTAGGTCTTAGGAATGGTTGCTTTGCTACCGCATCACCTACCAGAGGTGATCTCAAGGTTGGGGGAGCCTCGTGTATCAGAGGCCAGGTGTGGGGGTAGTGCAAGAGGAGAATGGGGTTTAGGGGAGCAAGAACTGGGAGGTCATATTGGGGGTTACAGGGGAGGGTGGCTATTGCATTGGCAGCCCAGAGTGTGTATTTCCACCTGGAGAATGGTGGTGTTACTGATGCTACACAGGCCTTAAGGTATAGTTCATCCATTGCTTGAGTGACAGATAATAGCTTCAGAGTAAAATTTTTTTTATTTTTTATTTATTTTTTATTTTATGGAAGGGTCTACAGGGTGTTCAGGGTCTCACTACTAGATCCGATTCATAGTAACCCGCCTGTTCACAGCTTTCCAAGAGCTGGGATTATAGGCATGCACCACCACGCCCAGTCTCAATCCCCATCTCATCGCACCCAGGGCGTGGGGCCAGCATAGCAGGCCTGAGGATTGAACCCCCTTGCGCTTGCTTGCAGGCACTTTAATCTGCTGAGGTATTTGGCCAGCCCAGGGTCAAATTTGGCTGTGCTCATTTCTTTTCGTGTCTTTTGAGGTTGCTTTGGGTGTCATTGTAGAGTTGGGTAGCTGCTTCAGAAATGCGATAGCTACAGAGTAAAAAAGAATTACTCTGAGCCCATGTCAAAGAAATTTTCTGGCTTTCCTCAGAGAGACCAGCAAGGCAAAGGCTGCACCAAGACCACATTGCGACTGGCTGACGGAGTGTCCGCAAGGTGGCCAGTGAATGGGTTGGGGGAGGGAGAAGTGCAGGAGGGGAGGCAGGTCTTTTAAGGTCTTGTAAGCTGTGCCCAGCCTTGGCTCTTCATGAGTGAGGCGGGAGCCACTGGAGAGGTTTGCAACACAGGCACGCATAGCTGGACTTTTGTTTTTGTGTTGAGAATAGACTGGTGAAAGTTCCCCCATTCATTAGTGTCATCATTTATTTAGCAGATCTATTGTATTTATGTCCAATTTGGTCTTGAATCTTTCCTAGGAGAGTGGCCACAAACCCTAGTCCTGCCCTGATGGGGGCCTAAGAGATTTGGTCCTGGATGTTTACAGTGTGCTTTTCTTAGGATATTTCTTTATCCAGGCAGACTGCCTAATACCTGTTTCCGACCTGCCACCAGGTGTTTCTGTGACAGGGCACATTTATGATGGCAGATTCCTTGTGCCTTCATCTGGCTGGGTGCAGTTTATTCCTTCTAAGGTAACTGCACTGTGGGAGGTCCTGGTGTGCTGGTCAGGTGTCATACATAGGAGACAGCTCAACCAAACAGTGAAATTACAGAGCCTTTGAATAATCACAGACCCAGGTGCCCTTGAAAGGGGTGAAGAAAGTGTGGAGGCAGCCGGTGCTCAGGCTCCAGTTCCTGGAGGGGAGAGACGAA